GTCAGTGCACAATTTATGTACAATGAGATTGGTTGAGCTCCCTCAGTGTACCCCTCCCCCAACATAATAAGTGGAAACAGAAAATCCCTAACCCAATAAATCATATTAACAAAACACCCAGTCCTATTGCACTTGTGTGGACATGTTACACATTGCACCTGCCCTGCAGTCCATCATACTACATAGTTATGATCTTATTTCTCATTCAGGAGTCTAACAGCCCAAGGATAAAAACTGTTCTTCAGCCTGCTTGTGCAGCTGGCAGTACTTAAGTTAAGAGAAAAATGACCAGAAAGAGCAATTTGATGAGGGAACTGATAAAACATCCATTAGACATGGGTTGGAGTTTTGTTCTGGGCAGAAAGTTGGATTGAATAGTCTTCCCGAATTAGGGATTCTGTATTTCTAGGAAAACATAAATCTACCAGAAGGTAAGCTGGTTTGTTCAATAGTACTCTTTTTAGTCTTTCATGATACCACTTCTTAAATCTCCGGGGATGCTTTTAAGCAAGAAAGAAGTAGCTTTCTTTTTCTAAGAATTGATTAACAGACTGATGCTACTCAGTATTTTGCTTCGCAGCAAGCCAGCTTCCTATTCTCAATTAATTAAAAGAAACCCGAAAGAATATTGCCCACCAAAGGAGGGATTTGAGGGTATGCTGGTTCTGTATTATTAATAATAATAACTTTTATTTGCGGTCACAGACCAAAATACAAATAATTGCAAAAGAACATGGGGAAAGAAACATCATAAACAGTTGACTACCAGGAGCCTTGGCTGAGAGGAATTACATATGCTGGTTCTGTAAAGGGAACTCTGCTTGCAGACTTATTTCATCCCAATGAGCCTGGCTTTTCTTCCTAAAATAAAGCATGAAAGTGTGACCAATCCGGAGAATTCTCGAAATAGTCTTATTTAAAAACCAGTGCAATGGATATTGCCTTCCATTTGAAGATTATAACGTCAAATGATGGTTTGCCAATGTGAAATGACCAAACATGGTAAACAAAATTCACTATCACTAGGCAGCACGAGTCAAAAAGAGGACTGTGAAAATATTTACAGACCTCTCACATCCTGGACATAAATTGTTTCAACTCCTACCCTCAAAACGATGCTATAGAGCACTGCACCCCAGAACAACTAGACACAAGGACAGTTTTTTCCTGAACGCCATCACTCTGCTAAACAAATAATTCCCTCAATGCTATCAAAATATTCACTAAGTTTTCATTACTATTACTATTACTTCTCATAGTTCCTATCATCCATCTCCTCCTACTTATGACTGCACGACTGTAACTTTGTTGCTTGCATTCTTATAATTTACAATATATTGACTGTTTCCTAATATGATTTGATTGCTTATTTGTACCCTATGACTAGGGTACATTAAGTGTTGTATCTTTTTATTCTTGATGAATGTATTTTATTCTCCTTATGTACACTGAGAGCATCCTATCCTATCCTATCCTATCCTATCCTATCCTATCCTATCCTATCCTATCCTATCCTATCCTATCCTATCCTATCCTATCCTATCCTATCCTATCCCTGTTTCTTGCACTCAAGAGCGAATAGTACTTGCCAATAATATTAGCTGTAAACTTTTGCACAAGTTGTTATAGTGTTACTAAATGGTTGTATATTTTTTCTTAGCCCAGTGTTGGGCTGGGCGTAATTTTTTTAATTCAGTCACAACTGACTATGTCCATTATTCCATTTTGTGCATTCTGTGTTGTCCACTTTTTTAAAATTTAAGTCTTCCGCCACCCCAAAGCTATCAGATAAGAATGAGTTATTTCATATACAGCCGTGATTTAATTCTCTTACTTTAATGGCAACAAAAAATGCCACTGATTGGAGGTCATTTCCAGGACCCATTTCTAGCCTTGAAGCTTATTCTCAATATGTTCAAAGTAATAAAAAAAGTAGAGAATCCTGCTGGAAAACCCCCCGCTGAATATTATTTCTACAATGCTAAATATCTCAACAAAGTAGACTACACCCAGAATTAAGTTGCTTCTTGTTCCATGAGCAAAAGCATTTTCCAGGCTCATGATTAAGTACAAATTTCTTAAGATCCTGCACTCTAGGTGTTGGCACACAATCTCTATCAGCTTGGAATGTACTTATTTCTCCTTTACCCTTCATTACTCGGTTGACAAAAAATTTCCACACTCCCAGGAGATGAAAGAATGCAAAACCCACCCAACAGGCAGCTCCTTCCTTCTACTTTGTTCCATACGCTTCCCGTCTTTTCAAGACTCAAGAGCCTGATCAACAACAATTTTCCATGGTTTTCCAAATGTGAAGCAGCATCCCTTTCTTCCCAGAAGACAACAAGCAGCCTCTCTGACCAAACTTAGGACAGGCCATTTAAACAAACAAACAAGCAAGCAAATAGACAAATAATGTTTTGGTTGGTTTGGGCCATTTTAATTTGTGTCCTTATCTGAAATTTCTGAACAGAACCTATATATGCTAGAACTGGCGATTGGTTTCAAACAGTCTGCCTCCTCCTTCAAGCCACAACTTTTCAGATGAAAAAAAAGAAGAGTCCCTTTTCTCACAATCCTGAAGTGTGACATCAGGATTTAGGAAGGTTTTTTTTAAAAAAAAGAGTAAACAAGACAGGAAGGAAGGAAGAAGAAAGAGAGAGAAAGGGACAAAGGGAGAAAGAGAAAAAAGGAAAGGAAGGATGGAAGAAGAAAGAGAAAAAGAAAGAGGAAGGAAGAAGGAAGGGAGGATTGGAAGGAAGGAAGGAAGGAAGGAAGGAAGAAAGAAAGAAAGAAAGAAAGAAAGAAAGAAAGAAAGAAAGAAAGAAAGAAAAAGAAAAGAAAAGAAAGAAGAAATGTAGGTTTACCCATGTTTAGAAAAGTCATGTAAGTTGAGTCGCTTTGGCAACTTCCCCTTTTCCTCAAGGGTAGCTTCTCCTGATATAACATCTTCAGACATCGGGACAAGTCTGGCAATTGACTTCTCAAATAACCCACAGGAATAATACCCTGATCTTTGAGCAAGTACTGGGCATGCTCACTCTTCCTCTCCAGATCACAAGTTGCTCTTTGGGTCAGTGGACCGGGGCCATGTATCATTCTCCAGAAGCATGCAACATCCTCAGAGCATACAACGCAGTGAGCTTACATCTCAATTGGCCTTCAGATTTTCACTTTAGGTCAGTTGCCAAGTAAAACTTTCCAATATTGATGGTGCCCAAATCCAAGTATTCCATCTCTTTATCATTTCCCAGCTCTTGCTAGGTCACAGTTGGAATAGTAATGCATTCCTTACAGAGGAACTAGCAAACTCATTGGATGGTTTAGTTGATAACATTTCAGCGTTTACTAAACTTGCAGGAAAGTCAGTGGATGTCCAAAAACTTATATGCAGACCACCATATGAAAGTTCAGAACATAAAAATGAGCCTACTGTATGGTTCCTACAACAGATTCAAAAATCATATCAATCTTCAAAACCTGCGATAAAAAAAAACAACAGATCCTATTCCTGTACAGAATTAGTGTATCAAACAGAAGATGGATGCTCCTGTAAAAAGCTGATTTATTTGGTATCAAATTAGAATGTAAACATTCCAATTTAATTTTTGAAAGTAATCCTGCCATAGAAATATCCTCTGTAAAGTCCATACATCTTTACTTTTGACCCAAACCAATGAGGACAGTAGGCCTACGTATAAGCTAGAAATGAATATTTTCTTGAAACTTAAGTTGTTTGCCTTTCTGGTTGACCTTGGATCAAAATAGAAAAGCAGCCAGTTTTAGATGATTTCCTCCTATCCAACTGTTCACAGTTTACACTTAAATGTAAGATGGCATCAATATCGTTGGCAGTTGGTTTTTATCGACATGATAGCCAATGTTAAGGCAGAAAATTGTGACTATTATTTAAATTAACATTTTTCTGATAAGATGGCTAATGAAGTGTGCATGTCAATCAAAATTAAACAGCCCTGACCCTGCTTGCTAGGATGGAGATCTCACTAAATTCAATGTGCTTTTCTTAGCATGAATTCAGATCAGGTAAATTGAATGCACGTTTATTTCTGACTTGGTGGCAATGCTTACGATGGCACTGCAGGCATTAAATGCCAGTGAAATAAATGGCACAAATAAATGATTGTTATCTAAAGCAAAATAATAAGGAAGTCTATAAAAACGTTTGAAGGTCCAAATTCAGCATATTATTGCAATCCAAAGATCAGAAGAGTTAGTAGGACATTTTGAGCTTATGTCTCTTTACTCAGAAGTTGCTCAACATGCCTTGTAAAATAAAACATTCTACTTGTATTTTGCAGTCCCCGCCAGAAGTTGGCATAATATATCTTTTTTAAAAATCAGAGGGGGGCTTAGTGATTAGCCTTTAGCTATTGTTTGGTTTAACCTCTCCCCGTGTTCCAAGCTTCTTCATATTCTGACGTTGTTTCAACAATCTCTAATTTTGACCTTTGAGGTACATTCCTCCCTCCAAATTTTATATCATAATGTGCTCTGGTAAACTGGGACTATTTTTATTTTCCAGAAATACTCTTTACCCTATTGCCTTTAGCTCTATTGCCAGAACAGTCTGCACAATAGCATTAGTTACTAGTTTAAGTTGGTGACTGCTATGCTAACTTGATAGTTTAAGAATAAGTCATGTCAGAAAACAATATATAAACAATGCTGATCATGAGGATGATATAAAAATGTCAAATTCAGTCTAAACATCTGGCTGACTATGTGACCAACTATAATCACAATAATTTTTGAAAGTAGTTGCCTTTAAAAAAAATCCATCTCAATTCAATTCTAAAATAAACTAATGAATATTCCTTCGTTTAATTCCCTTATTTTAAGAATCATATTATCTACTGACTTGGTAACGGAATTCCTAGAGGCAGTTGAAGCACAGAATCATTCTCTTGGTCCTATAGACCTTCAGACATACAGTTCAAGTTGCCCATATTTTATTAGACAATCTTTAATTGATCAGTTACCTTAGCAACTGTGGTCCCGCTGTTTCAACATGGAGGTTTTAGTAGGTTCTACTTCTGGCCGAATAAGTTAGTCTTTCCTTTAATCTACATACTCCTGCCGTTTTCACCTTCAGGGAGAAATCAAGCTATGTGGGAAGTGTTCGTAAGTCGTCACATACAGAAGTTTGAATGTTCTGGTGCTTTCCTCACCATTCCAAAGAAATTTGTCTGGAAAGATTTGTTTCTAAATCAAGAGGGTGAAAAATATATGACAAGATGGTGCAGCAAAAAGTTCAAGAACTGTCTTAAAAGCAATGAAGCCAATCCAATCTTGTCGGGGACAAGAAACTCCATTGAAACTGGAGAGTCTAGAAGAGCCGAGTTGATTTCAGTCAAACTTTGTCTGAGTGAAGTTTGCAGGGATTGCCACATCTCTGAACGTTCCACTCATCTTTGGCGGTGTTTAGATCTCTTTAGTTTAGTCCTCTTCTAGGTTTCATTGACATTATGGTTGGCAGGGAAGGAATGCCAGGCTTCAGATTCTACAGTATCAGGTTTCTTTTGCCAAATCCATCATTTCACCTGCCATTTGCTGAAACGGGGTGGAAATGACAGGCAAGCAGAGGAAAGGCTCGGTGCCAGAATTTCAAACAGCAATTGAAATCCTTCGAAAGACCGATAAGGACCGACACTGAATCCAAATCAGCATTGCTTCTTCCTTAGCGATTCTTGAGATGAAGAATTTGTTTTAAAAACATCTCAGCCCCACCTTTCTCTCCCTAGAAAAGTGCAGGAAGAAACGGCACCCAGCTTTTCTTGACGGAAGCACCAAGAATGCAGCGTAACCAAGACCCCTCTCCAGGGGCTCATGGTTTTGTTCTTCACCCCTGGATGCAAATAGAGTCTTCTCAGTGTTGTCTTTAATCAGTTCCATCTGGATCGTCGTTGCCCTTGCATTGCATTTCCCATTTGATTCTCCCTCTGCTCCCTTCGGATTCCAAACTCAAGAGTTCTCTGGAGAATTCTTACTTCAATTCATTTACATCTGAACATCTCTTGCTGGCGAATTCCAGTTCCCCGGCAAAACAACCGGAGCTGTCCTTGGTGCTGGAAGGCAGCGTGCACGTCGTTCTGACTTGTCTCATATTCTCTTCTCCCTCCGCCTCCTTCCCATTTAAAATGTTATGGTCTCTTGAATTAAGAAGATACAGTAATGCCAAAATCTTAAACCGGTTGGTCTCTCTGAATCATTGATGTGTGTATGTGTGTGTCTCCTTGGTAACTAGCTATTCTTATTTGAATTGCACACACACACACACACACACACACACACACGAGAAATGCTCAGTTTATAGCTAAAGCAAATACGAAGCATTGTACCCTACATACATTTTTACAAATGCTCAACCTCTCATTATATTGTACATTGATTGCCTAGACAGAGGACAGTGATTGGGAGAAGCCCCAATGCTTTGGGTTATTATTTTGGTGGGAAAACAATTTATTAAAGGGAAATGATTTGGGGGAAAAGTAAATTAGATAATCAACTTAAAGCTCCTGTTATAGCAATTGCTATAATTGTTGTGATGACGATGACGACGGCGATGATGATAATGATATTACTTGGACCCTGCCAGATTTGGAATCATAATAGTTTACAAATAATAAGATATTTTGAACTGGGCTTTGAGTAGGAGTGACTGCAGTCTGAAGAGAGTGAATTGTGTGGCTACATTCCTCCCCCCAGGGGAAATAGCAAATTGGGTGAGGAGAAGCTTGCTTAGTAACCCACTTCCTGGGCAATTAGAACACCAGCTGCCATCTCCCTTTTGTGTGGAGTAATCACAGCCTTTTATATACTGAATCCTCGAGGCTGCATATTTGCTTCGTCATTGCTTAGAAGAAACTGTCTTCTCAAATAAGGCTAGTTCAAAGGGAGGTTCAAACCCAATAATTATAAATAGGTGGCATTAGTGTTAGCAAATAATTCTTGTAGAAGAGATTGAAGAATTATCTCTTTCTCTCTCCCTCTCCCTCCCTCCCTCTCTCTCTCTCAAACACACAAACACAGAGCACTGTAGAAGATGTTGGGAGAAAGAGGAACTCCAGCACTACTGAGGAAAGAAAAGTCATTCATCTCACACACTTAATCAAGTTTGGGAAAGACCTGATGGGTGAATATGTACAAGCCTGGTTAGTATTAACTTTGATACCTTTTTTAAATCCCTTCATGGTTTAGAATTTGATGAAATCCATACCCTTTGACTACTTACCCTATTTTTCCGAAAACAAGACATCCCCTGATTATAAACCCAATCGGGCTTTTGAGAGCATGCGCTAAAATAAGCCTCCTCCCTGAAAATAAGCCCTCCCCAAAAATATTTAAACGCAGAGCTGGAAATCAGGTAAGATGGCAAGAGGAGCTCCATCTTGCCCCAAAATAATAAGACCTTCCCAAAAATAAGGCCAAGCGCTTATTTTGGGGTTCAAAAAAATATAAGGCAGGGTCTTATTTTCAGGGAAACATGATAATAGTACAACATATTAGGTGTCATTCAAAAAATGAATTAATTCAGTAACCAGCTGAAACATTGCTCCATTGACCATTTCCATCATATGATAACTTCATTAGGTGTGCATTTATTTATCTGACAGCCAAAGACTCTTCTTTCCTCTCCAACATGGTCTTTCTTTCTTTCTTTCTTTCTTTCTTTCTTTCTTTCTTTCTTTCTTTTTCCTTTCCTTCCTTCCTTCTTTCTTTTTTATTCCTTTCCTTCTAGGAATGGAAGATCAAAAACTGAAGAACCGGAGTTTAATTAATTGAATTATTGGGAAAATTTATTAAAGTTGTCTTTCTCTCTCTCTCACCCGCCCTGACTAATGCTCAAAGTTGCTTCCAGCCAAACAACGATTCCTTTATTAGACATGTGGTCCAAAAATAAAAACACAGCAAACCCCTAGATGCACATGAAATGCACCTTCTCACCCAGAAGATACATAGAAAGAACAATTTCACTGAGCCAAACAATGACCTACTCACTCAACCAGTGGTGGAATTTAAATTTTTTACTACCAGTTCTGTGGGCATGGCTTGGTGGGCATGGAGTGGCTTGGTGGGCATGGCAGGGGAAGGATACTGCAAAATCCCCATTCCCACCCCACTCCAGGGGAAGGATACTGCAAAATCCCCATTCCATTCCCACTTCAGGGGAAGGATACTGCAAAATCACCATTCCCTCCCCACTCTGGGGCCAGCCAGAGGTGGTATTTGCCAGTTCTCCCAACTACTCAAAATTTCCGCTACCGGTTCTCCAGAACCTGTCAGAACCTGCTGAATAGCACCCCTGCACTCAACCAACTAAAAGAGATTGGGACAGAGACCGAGCAGGAGGAAAGCCCCTCACATTCCAAAATAGTCAGTATTACAAAGCTGGAACACCTGGATTTTAGTGATCTATTACACTTAACAGTCAAAATAAAAATAATAATTGATGTCCCATCTGGAACGTTCTCTGGCGTAAAAGGAAGGTGGCCCAGCAGTGTATCCTGAAAGTCTAATAGAGAAGTTCATTGATTGCTATTTATTTATATGTCCTTTATTGTCGTATAATAACAACTAGCAGATGCACATAAAGGAAAGGTAAAAGAGTAAAAAGGAACAAATTTTGCTACAGAAACAATAATAGCTCTGGGTGCATCCATCAGTCAAAGAATAAAGTTTCAGAACATGGATCTGGATCCCACTACAGTCACAAAGAATACTACTTTCACTTACCCTGGAATGATAGGAGTAAAGGAAAACACTTTATGATATAATTTTCATAAGACGCACTTGACCATAAGACACACTCCCATTTTTGGCCTCCATGCGTCCCATTTTCGGCCTCCGCATGCCCCGTTTTCAACCTCTGTGCGCCCTGTTTTTGGCCTCTGTGCGCCCTGTTTTCGGCCCCTGTGCATTCCATTTTTGGCCTCTGCGCACCCCATTTTTGATCTCCGTGTGCCCCGTTTTCAGCCTTTTCAAAAATGGGGCACGCGGAGGCCGAAAACGGTGTGTGCTGAGGCTGAAAATGGGACATGCTGAGGCAGAAAATGGGGCGCACAGAAGTCAAAAATGGCTGAAGGGGGGGCAGAGAGGTGGATGGAGCTTCAGCAATATTCTCTCTATAAGATGCACAGACATTTCCACCCACTTTTGGGAGACAAAAAAGTGTGTCTTATAGAGAGAAAAATACAGTACATTCTGGCCAGGAGTACTGAAGGGAATTGGACAAGCCCATAAGTTGGTTGCACAAACCATTGATTTAAAACTAGTTTGGACAATCACAGGAAGTAATGTAAGGACAATTCTCAAAGATCATCTAGTCTAGTTCTCCATACAGTGCAGGAAGATACACTCTGCTCTCCAGTTTTGAAAGTAACAGACTGTACAGATAGTCCTTGACCTATGACCACAATTGAGCCCAAAATTTCTGTTGCTAAGTGAGACATTTGTTAAGTGAATTTTACGGCCTTTCTTGCCAAAGTTGTTAAGGGGACAACTGCTGTTGTTTAGTTAGTAACACAGTTGTGAATCTGGCTTCCCCATTGACTTTGTTTGTCAGAAGGTAACAAACGGAGATCACATGATCCTGGAACACAATCTTCATAAATATGAGTCAGTCGTCAAGTATCTGAATTTCGATCATGGGGATGTTGCAACAGCCGTAAGTATGAAAAACGGTCATAAGTAACTTTTTTTCAGTGCCGTTGTAACTTTGACTGATCACTAAATGAATGTAAATCAAAGACTACCTGTAGTAGCTGGGCAGATGTATTCCAGGTGTAGCCTTCCTCATTTCTTTGGGATGTAAAGAAGATAGTGTTAGGGAATGGCTATTGCCTAACTGGTTGGGTTGGCAATATATCTAAACCATCAATGCATGGTTGCAGTCAAAATGTAATATATAGCTCTAAGACTGTAATGCTGTATTGCATCATACTGTATTCTGATTGGCTAGTTCTGTAGCCAACGTACTTAAGAGGAGGCTTGAATCATGGCTTGTTTTTCTATTATTACATTATTATTGCTACCTCTGCTCCTCTCTGCCTGTTCTCTCTACATGATCACTGATTGATCATTGCTACTTGTTGTTTTCTACTGTTTTACTGATTGTTTTGCTGCTGTACTTATTCCTGTTGCAATTCTAAAAAGAACTGTTTTATTGCCTATGACTACAACAACTGGTAAGAAGACTTTGTTCTTGGACTATCCCTGGATTGACAATTTAACTATATTTAACTGTGTATGACCTGGATTGTTTATTGGACTTTGCTTTGTTTTTCCTAAAAGTAAAAGAATATCACAACTCAGTGTGTCTGTGTATTGACAGTGCTTATTCACAATCACTCTCAGCCGTTTTCTCATGTGCACAACCTGCAATTCAAGGGTTACTCTGTGCATATTCCTTAACAGATAGTAAAGATAAGTTAACGTTTTCTAGTGAGACATTAAATTCTAGGACTGGAATGTCTTCACAAAAATGTTTGCCACACAAGATACCAGCCATGCCACCTCTGCCTTGGCAAAACGACCTGTAGAAGATTTCAAATATGCTCTTCAAATCCAGGTAGGTGCAAATAGGACAAGACATTTTAATTATTTTTTCACAAGTTAAGAATTGTTTCAAATATTTTGGCCATGTATCAGTCATACCACACTGTTCCAGTTAAAAAACCAATCTTGCATCTGGATTTTGATATCTGTTAGAAAGCAACCGCTGCTAGCACCATCACCAGATTCACAGAGACATAGTAAGATGAGTTGTGATTGAAATATTGGAGAATATTAGCTTTCATTTTTGTCAAGCCATCACGTTTTTAGACTGAAATACGTGTGTGGACTGCAACATTTAATAAAGGAACAATGGAAAAGAAATGACAAGAAAACATATTCACAAGGAAGAAGACAGCAGCTCATTTTAAAAGTATGAATGGTGTGAAGTTATCTTTCCACTTCAGATAAAGGCCAGATGGAAAAGCTTTTTTAATTATTTTTGGAAATCACATTTAGCATTGGACGGGTTGGTACATTAGTATTGCTGAAAGCAAGTCTATAATGAATTCCAGCTTCACAATATTTTTGCTCTCTGATAGCAGGGCCATTGTAGGTTTTTTTTAATGTACAGTACAACTGGTAGATTGAAAATATAGGTGGTAATGAAGTTTAGTCTAGGGCAGTGATGGCTAACCTTTTTCGGACTGAGTGCCCAAAGCGAGCATGCCTGAACCCCCAAAATGCAATGTGCCCCCCTATGCATGTGCCCTGC